GAGAGAGGGGAAATCCGGCGTCGCCTGGATTTCAAAAGGTGTGGGGAGATAAGCCTGCGCCGGGCCTTCGTCCCAGTATGAAAAGGCTGTTGAGAGCCGTTTCACGTTAGGGCGATAGTAGGCTTTAGCGGCAATGATGAAGATCCGAGGGTTAAGCCCAAATAGATTTTGGCGCAGCGCTACCAGCGGGAGAAATAAACATAGATATCGATAGATCCTGCCGTCAATAGATTAGTGTACAATTCGAACACGGATCCGAATTTGGAGGAAAACGAGGATCGGTGATGAGACAGGAGGTATTGAGACTCTGCCGCATCATTGCTTGATCAAGGTTGTTCATGCTCATACTCGGGAAAAGCAGCCACATAATCTTACCACCCTAAAACCAATAGCTAGTACTCCTAAATTCGAGGCATTGTGAGAATCCTGATAATTCTCACCTGCTCGGCAGTCGTCCAGTTCAAACTACGGTTCGAGGACCCCCTGTCTCAGTCTTACCGCTATTCCTGCCTCCGAGAGTCCCGAGTCTAGACCGGCCCAGATCCCGTCCTCCTCAGTGTATAAAAGTAGAGCCGAATCCTGGTCCATCACACAACCCGTCCGCCAACTCCTAACCAGACCAACTCACCAACCTCCATCAAAAATTACCATGTCCCAAAGTACGAGCTTCTTATGTTCTGGCCTCTGTTTGGGCAAGATTAATCATATCCTCAGGCACATCCACCCTCCGTACGCGCACTGGCTCGGACACCGCCGCCGGGCAGCCCATCAGCCCCATTGCACTTGACCTGCGTCTCGCAGCCGACGTCATGCTCGCAGAAATGCGGCGTCCCTACTCCGCATCCAAGCGCCTGCCCCGGTGCCCCCGGATGGCACGCTCGCCTTTTGTGCGCCTGTCACCTGCACAGCGCGATGTACGCATTTGATCCATGAAAATCGTAAGCCTACCTTCTTCTGGCCTCCCTAACACAGGGCTCATCAAATTAATTTCAGTACATGAGCTCTGCTTACTACGCAGTCCGCGAAGCAAATCTCGACGAGGATGTGTAATATCTTACATATGTATTGTCATGACCTGATTAATGTATTACCACCGAACACCGAACCACTTCTCCCTCGTGTCATCCGAAGTCTGAGCGCAAAGGCGAAGAAATTGACGTGAGGGCGGAAAAAAATTCGTCTAATCGCGTCAGGGAGCCCACCATCCCACTAAATCCCACTTCCCTTAGCCTCAATAAGTTCCGCCGCGGCCTTGGATCGCGACCGGATCGAGCATCTGAACGGCAGTGGAGCACTAAAGCGCATGCTTCAGACACTCCCTACATGCATGCGCCGACCAGATGCACCTCGTAAGCCCGGACGAATAGAGATGGGATCTGGGTCCGAAAGGTCGTCCGTCACATCACCTACGCCGACCGCACCGCACACCGCACACCGCACCGACCGTACCACTCCACACCACCCGGGCAATTGAGGATCCGAATCGCCCAAACCCAAATCAATGAGACAGAGCGACTCAACCTGCGCAGACCGAGTCCGAGTCCCAGCAGACCGAGCCGAGTCGCGGCAGACAAAGCGACCACGCGGCCGAGCGGGCACCCTCGATCCACCCCGAGCATCGCCCCGTCCCCCTCCACCTCCACCGCCGGCGCGAAATAGGCTCGAAATCCAAACCCAACCCGCCCAAATCGAAACCGACCGCACCCGGACCCCGCATCCTGCAAATGCGTCCCCTCCGCGAACCGCATCATCGCCGCGACCAGAGGAGCTGACAACGCCAGTGAAACGCGTCGGCGTCGACTCAAAAAGTCTCCCCCCAAAAAAAAACTCGCGAAAGAGGAGCGAAGTGACGTGAGGCCAGAGCGAAACAAGAGAAGGAGTGAAAGAACGAGGAAACAAAAGAGAAGGAGAAGTGTGAGGAGAAGGAAACGCACCGCCAACGCCTGCAGCGCGAGCGCGCGGTCGTGCTTGAAGCCGAAGAGGCCCACGAAAGATCTGGCGAGGGTTAGCTAGGGGCAACGAGCGAAGGGAAGCGGTAGCAATCGCAAGAAAGGGACCGTCAGCGCGCGGGGACGAGGGGGAGGGAGGGAGGTGTTAACCGACTGGAAGACTGCGGGAGATGGAATGATGTGAATGCGGGAGATGGGATAGTGGGAGGAGAATGGGGATGTGGACGGGAACGTGGATGCGGATGCGAATGGGGATAGAAGGGAAGAAAATTGAGGCAGAGTGAGGATGCGGCCGTGGATGTGATGGAGGGGCGGGATGTGAATGGATGGGAAAGGAAGGTGGAAGGCGGAAGGCGGAAGGCGGAAGGCGGAAGGCGGAAGGCGGAAGGCGGGGAATGGAGGAGGAGAGCGGGACGGATGGCAATACAGCATGGGATGGGATGGGATGGGCGCGGGGGGTGGGAGCGGAATGGCGAATGCGGATATGAATAAAAGGGAGAGAGAGATAGATGGGATAATGGAGCGCGACGCGAATGCGAATGTGAGAGCGATGTGACGGAATAGAACGGAAGGGAAGGTGCGGGGATGCGAATGAGCTGGATCGAATCGAAGTGGACAAGGAAGGTACGTAAGATCGGGAACGGGGTTGGATTGGGATTGGATTGGGATGCGCGGACAGATGGAAGAGAGAGAAGAGGGAGAAAGAGAGGAACGCGCGACTCACTGCACCTTTTTCGGGAGGAGAGAAAACACGAGGTTAGAGAGGCCGAAACCTGTGCGCCCAAAGAAAAAAGGGGATGTGAGCGCCGATTCATTCACTCGCAGTCGGGAGAGCGCACACACCGAACGCAGTCCCCGCAACGATCATCTCCTCCACCGGCCCCTCCGCCGCCCGTGTCAGCTCCCTCTCCCTCTCCCTCTCCCTCTCCTGCTCTTCCTTCTCTTTCGCTGCGGACGCGGATAGCAAGACCATCGAGCTGTTCGCGCCGGAGCCCCAGCGCCCGACGAGGGACTTGGTGGCAGAGATGGAGGCGGACGGGGCGAGGGAGGGTGCGGGTGAAGAGGGGGTCGAGGGATCGAGGGCGCCGAGGGCGTGGTGGTGTTCGCACTCTCACTAGGCACTCTCACTAGGCGCCAGACTGCCCGCACCGTTCGCTGCCCGACTGCTCTCATTAATCGCAGCATACCCCTCCAGCCCCGCGGGAACAACTGCTTGTACAGCTTCGTAAACTTGCCGTGCGCGGCGTTGAGGGCGTACATGCACTGGAAGTAGCCCATGTACGACTCGCTCAGCGCGTGCGTCAGCCCGAGGAGCACCACCGCGTCCACGCCCAGGATTTCCCACTCCAGCCCCGGCGCGAGCCGGCCGCCACCGTCACCCTGCCCCTTGTCCTTCCCTCCTCCTTTGAGGGCAGCGCGGGCTTTTTTGGCGTCCGCCGCCGCCTTTCTTGCGCCCGCCTCTGAGAGGGTGAGGAGGCGCGCGGCCTCGCCCATGAGCCCGCCCTCCATCCCCCTCGAGGAACGCGCATACACCGAGGCCGAGCACGTGAAACGGGGTCGAGTCGGCAGCGAAGGCGGCGCGGGCGGGGCCGATCTGGTTGGCGAAGAGGGCGTCGAAGCCGGCGTTGGCGGAGGCGAGGGCGGCGGCGGTGGGGGAGCCTGAGGGAGTCGTCGAGGAGGGGGGCGGGGCAGTGACGGTCGTCGAGGGGATGGCGGGCGGTGTCGAAGGTATGGCGGGCGACGGCGATGGCGACGGGGAGGGGCTGGGGGACACGGGCGACGGCGACGAGAGGGCGGGCGAGGACGTGGCCGACGACGACGAGGGAGGCTTGGAGACGTCCATGGCGATGACGGCGAGCAGCGAGGATACAATGCACAGGAGACGCGTCACGCGCGTCACGTCATCGGCGGCACGCTGCCGAGGACGAAACATATCGGTCAGCGTGCCGAGTTGCGCGTTGATTGAATTCGATCGGGTCTGGCAGATTCCTGCGCGTTGTAGGAGTATGTGTTGGAATGTGGCCCGTCACGTGTCCCCAGGTTCAAGTTCCGCATTGTCAACAGCTTTTGTCTTCATCGTCTACAGCTACAGCTTTGATTTCCCATTGTCTACAGCCTTTCTTACTTATTCTACCGTCCATTTTCGGACTCTTTACAGCTTGGTTTTACTTTAAATACTTCTGTGTTGAGTCGCTTGAATATACGCTTGCTCCCAGCGCATCTGTGTGACTGTCACCTTCTAACAGTAAGGCTCCAACCGTTTCCGTGTATAAACTGTTTTACACGGTTTTAACCGTTTTCGTTTTCGTTTTATTTGAGCGCAAGTGCAAACGGTTTACAAACCATTTTTACACGGTTTAAATGGTTACAGCCAGTACTACCAGAGCCCTGTGATTCTGCCTTTAAATCTTAAGTGTTTGAGGACTGAGATGATTCATGAGGTTCATAAGAATGCCCGGTAAAAACCCAATGCAAAACAAACTTCTTGTGGAGCTCGGGGGCGGGACCAAACAAGATATATTCCAATGGAGCAATTAATTGATGGCGGCCGGCAGTTCCCGTCCCGCCCAGCCCGCCGCCTCCTTTGACTGATCCTTCCGAAGATGGAGTTTCCAAGCCAGACACATCTTGTTGGAAGCATCCCCGAGTGCAGGATCCAATTTTTCGGAAGACTTCATTCGTTGACTGCATTTGTGTAGGTTAAAGTTGAACCTGGATTCAACATCTATCTAGGAAGGCACTGGATACTTAAGGTTGATACATTATACAGCTGTGAACATTATAATAGTTTCAGCCCCCTCAGAATGTGTCCTGGGCTGCGGTTGAGGCTCATAATTGACTTTTCTAACTCAAACTTAGGTTCTCCGGGGAAAAAAACCATTTATAAACGGTTTTACACGGTTTTAAACCGTTTAAATACCGTTTTCGTTTAATTTGCTCCCAGGTCTACACGAAAACTAAATGGTTGGAGCCTTATCTAACAGTATGTAACATGGAGAAAAGCGAAAAAGGGACGGGTAGGGAGAGAGTCAAAAGAAAATGTCTGACATATGCCACCGGTGGGAGTCGAACCCACGACTTCCTCTCCTACAAGTGACAGTTGGCGTATAACATGACGAGGACGACCTTCCACTGGTCCACGGTAGCACTCCTATCCCGGACATTTGGATAGGTATGTACCTCTCATTTCACTCCCAAGCCGGAGTCTCTCAACGTTGCTCGAGTCAATCTTATGTATGTGGTAGTACCGGCTGAGAAACGCAATTAGGGGAGAGAAAAAGGGCGGGTAGGGAGTGGGGGTATGCAAGCCCAAAAGAAAAAAAGTGTTCGAGTCCCAGTCTATGCCACCGGCGGGAGTCGAACCCCCCTCTTCCTCTCGAATGCAAGAAGTCTCATATGATGAGGGCGATCTCCCATTAATCCACGGTGGCGTTGTCATCCTAGGCATTTGGGTGGGTATGTACCTCTCATGTACCTCTCATTCCGCTCACAGGCCGGAGTCTTTCAACGTGGCTTGAGTCAATCTTATGTATGTATGTAGTAGTACTGCACATCGCAGCCGGCGTGCAGCATCCTGATCCACTCTACACTGACCATACAATTACTCAGAATCACTGCACCCCTATGTCCGTCCCCATCCCCGCGGTGACGCCCTTACCGCGCAAAAAAAATCTGGTAGACATGCATGCCGCCGGTGGGAGTCGAACCCACTTCTTCCTTCCTCTGTGACCTTAAAAGAAGGTATTCATAGAGCGAGGATGATCCCTCTGACCCACGGCAGTTTTCCCTCCTATGACACCTAGTCTTGAATCCCGAATGAAAGCCAACAAACTCAAGATCAGACGAGATGCACGTTTGCCGGTGAGACTAATCATACACCGCCATTCGAAGACTTTGTTTCTCAAACCTTGGATGCTAACGACCTTGCGCCATTTCAGAAATATTTAATATTGGTCCTTCTAGCGTCTCACAAACAGTTGAAGGGGAAATGTTGTCAAAATGGCCCAGGAATATCAGTCGAACATTGTCACGGTATCCCTCAAATATGGAGTTAAAAAAGCCTCCAGGGATTCGACACTTTTTATTTTGAGAATGTTGTCGACACAAAACATCCTCAAAACGTGGGCCATAAACGGCGGTGTACGGGGGGGAAGCTGTTGAGGCCCATTTCGAGCTGTGAATTTACAGGAATTACTCATCGAGGGATGTGCGGGGAGAACTAGAAACCGACATATGCATCGCCCACCCCCAAACAGCGAAGAGGAAATGACAACTGATAGTCCAACCGAGCAAACACGGACCCTCGCCAACGAAATCTCCCTCACATTCTCAAGGTAAAAACTCGAATGAGATGGTCTATGCAGCCGGTGGGAGTCGAATCCACCCTTCCTTAATCTAAACTTTGTAGATAGACAGAATAGGGCAAGAACGATCCACCCTGATCCACAGCGGCTTTTCAGGAGCTTGACCATGCCCTGCTTGCGAGGCCTCGAGTATGGAACAAATTCCAACTCTCTAGGCAAAATTGTGTTTCGAACAGGGCATACCACTGGTGGGAGTCGAACCCACCCTTCCTCAATCTAAACTTTACAGATAGTCATAATAGGGCGAGGACGATCCACCGTGATCCACAGCGACTTTCTGCTACAAACCAGTACTCAATGCTAACCTGCTCTTTAAATTGTGGCCTTGCGGATAGAACGAAATCTAAAAATCCAACGCAGCCAAAAATCAGGATCAGATGTGGATGTTCAGGGAGCTGAGCTTTACCGGTGGAAGTCTGATTGGGGGGGAGTCTAACAACTTGTGAGCAATGTCTGAATGAAAGGACGAGAAAAAAAAAAATCGTGCAAGATCTAGAACCCACCTTTCCTCAATCTAAAGCTTCCTTCTCTCTATAGGGGAGGACGATCCACCCTGATCCACGGCGGCTTTCCTCTCAATGCTTTCCTCTCAATCTAGGAGCTTGACCATGCCCTCCTTTTGAGGCCTTGAGTATAGAACGAATTTCAACTCTCCAGGTTGTTATGATTGCCTCGGTTCCGGGCACCATCTTCTCCCGTATATCTTGATGGCGCGCGCGCTCGCCTGATGCGCGCACGCACTACTTATCTCTGTATCATATATATATATTACTACACATCATATTCCTCCCTCAATCGTTTCCCCGATAAGACTGAGGTGAGTTATACTTACTACTTCCTGTTTACTCATACTTATCATCCTCTCCAGTTAATGTACCTATCTAACAGGTACATAGTATTAATGGAGTCGTTTCCTCGATACGACTGAGTTAACGTACCTATCTAACACAGGTGAAAGTCCGCCGCTGGGATTCGAACCCACCCTTCCCCTGCGAACTTCAAAGGACAGGTGTTCACATTATTGAATCACTGGGATCCACGGCGGCTTCCCATTAGAATCCAGCAGATTGTCTTGGAAGAAGCTTTAAAAGTAGAAGGACGAGTGGCAGGTGAATTTTGGCCCGGAAATGCAGCAGGAATCCGTAAAATATCGCGCCTCGTCGGCGAGAGGAGCGCGTCGTGGCAGGAGGAGATGAGTCCCGTGGCAGGTCCGGCGATTCCCCGCTCGGCCGAATTCGGCGCCGCGCCACGACCTTCAACATCCCAATGCGGAAGGCGCCCCTTGCAGAGAACCGCCATGTCTGTCTTGGCGGTGTCTGCCACGACCCTCCCTGGCGCTCAAACCTCTTACATAATAGTATTTTGGCGCTCCCTGGCCTCATGTATCGTTCCCTTTCCTCGCCTCTCGCGCCCGCAATCACATGAACTTCAGCCGGATGTAAAGCGACGTTTCTGCGCACCAACGAGGTCCGCGGGAGGCACAGCCGACACATTAACCCATTTGAGTGGTGTCTCCGCAGTTCCGCGATCAGTCCAGGCGCAAGGCCCTGCCGCAATAGATCATGAGGTCTTGGGCAACTGAATGTGGGGGAGACAGGTGTGTGATTTGAGAATTGAATCCAAATTGAATCAGAGAGGAAGTCCGGTTGCAGAGCCACTGCCTCGGTCAAGGGGTACCTAGAAATGAAATTTGCTCCACGACGTCGATTTTGGATGCAGATTACCTTGTAAAGACGATATATGGTTCCCCGACAAACGAACACCTTTGGCCTTGGTCGACGTCAAGACGCAGGCAAGACGGGAGGTGATTGCTAATCACGATGGTATCGCTCGGCACTGCCGCACATCGTTGATGCCATCAGCTCTCACTTTCTTATCCCAGACAAAGTTCGAGCAGGAATATACGCAGGGTGGATCCAACTCAGTCAGGGAGTATCTAACCCTGCTTACCTTTTCACTGGGACGAGACCCAAGGCAGCGCCCGATAAGCGCCAATTTCCAGGACCCATCGCACATCTTGTTTTGGTCGGATCACTGGTGCCCGCATGTCCATGTCGTCGCGCCTTATGTAAATCACCCTGAGCGCTTCCCCCGCATCTTGTCTTCCTTCCACCCACCACAGCCGACTCTCGCTCGTAGCATGGCCACTCCGGTCTCGTCATCCTCCGCCGCATCCCCGACCCCATCCGGTTGCGACGCTGGCGACTTCCGTCCAGGATACTCCGGGTCCATTACCGGCGGGTTCGCAGGTATGTCGATTTATCGCGTTTCCGACGCCCGAACCGTCATTTATTTTTTACCTTCGACCCCGCAGGTTGTGTAGTGAACAACGCGACCGCTCTGACAGTTTGCTGCGCCAGCGTCGGGAGCACGGCGGGATTCATCAACGAGACGTGTGGCTGTCCCTTCAACGCGGCGTTCCCCGCCACGGCGAACATCAGCTTTTTCGAGTGTGTGCACAGGACGAGCAACGGCACGACGAGTGCCTGCGGCCATCCGAACACGGGGCTGGGGGCGGGAGTGAGATGGAATGCAGCTGTCATCGTACTTGGTGCTGCGCTGGTTTTGGGTGTGGTGGTTTAAGCGGTGGGAGTGGTGTGATGAATCCTGATACGTCGGCGCACAATCTGCCTGCGTATATCTTTATGCAATCTACAACCATGAAAAGAAAATACAACGACTCCGAAAGAGCACTATAACACATACGGATTCAGGAAATTTGGGAAAATTTGGGATCTCGATAAGTATCTTGCCTGCGTATGTAGATACATCAAAGATAGTATAAGATCTTAAGATGAGTAGACCAGTAATCACAACGGACTCTTCTATGAACTCCAACCTCTGAGCCTAGCGGAATTCGGCTGAGTTCCACGACCCATATTCTAGGGCGTTCTACGGGAAAGTTAGCCAAGCCAAACTCGGTTCGAACAGACGAAATACCCTCACATCCCGGCTCCGAAATTGAATACGAGCGTCGTTTTTCCACCCAGAATCCGAGTCAGTTGTAACGGGAATTATTGTAAAGGTCCTTGCTGCGGGGTCCATTTGCGCCGCCTGTAGGTCGTAACCCTGCGGTGCCGGGGCGTACGCGGCGGGAGCATGTGCGTATTCATAGTCCCGGGGGTCCACGGGCGAGAGGGTGGAGTATAGAAGTTGTGGGTTTGTGTATCCATTGCTCGCCGTCGATTCGACGAGATTAGGCAGCGGAGCTCCAGCGTATCGTGGGCGGCGATTCGACGGCGGCGGGCCCGTGTATAGGAGCGGCGGCGCGGCGCTCGATCCTCGGGAGGAATTGGGAGAAGTCACAGGCGGCGTCGACATGCGCTTCAGCCTCAGCTTGCGAGCGCCCCCCTCCTCCGACTCCAGCTCTGGATGCCCACGCTCGTGCAGCACAACAACCGCACGAGATCCCCGAGCCCGCGCACCAGCAGCATCACCCATCCCCGAGCTCACACTCGCACTCGCACCCTCATCCTCATGCCAACCGTCTCAGCCCGCCCTGCACCGCGACGTGCGTCGGTGTGACAGCGTCCCCCATACGCACGCTCCGCTTGCACTCTCGCTCACTCCCCCAGTCCGCCTCCATCTCCGGCCCCTTCTATTCCCCGCGCATCGGCCGCACGCACGTCAGCGCATCGCGCACCAGCGAGCAGTAAGTAGCAGTACCATGAGCGGCTCCTCGGGCTCGCGCACAGCGTCATTGCCCCGGCATACATTCCAGATGCGGCCGCACCTCCAGGGCATTTCGACCTCTGATCCATGCCGCCGTCCACCACCTCCGCCGCGCCCGCACACACCTGCGCCTGCGCCTGCGCCTGTTGCTCTACCAGCGGTGCGACACAGCACCACGACGCTCCCACCGCTTCCGCCCGCGCGTCACTTACCGCCGGCGCAATACACATCCCCGTCTTCACCTCCTCCCGCCCCGCTCATCCTCATCCTCGTCCCGCCCACGACCAGATCGAGGAGCCGAGTGGGTGGCGCGGCTGCACACGTACATGCAGCTGTAGGGGGAAGTCAAAACTGAGCTATAGATGAATAAATGATGCGGATGGGAGGACGTACCA